CCCCTCCCTACCGTGCCCCAGTGGTTTTTTGCAGCTGCGCAAGGCTCAGCCAATCAAAAACAGCTTATTGCTAAAATGGGCAAGGATTGGTCCTAAGTTCCTGAGGCCGCCAGGAAAAGGTGGGGTTTCATGGCCCTGTATTAATATATATATGTACATGGGCGGGGACGGCGGAAGGCCGACGGATGTGCTCTTTGTTGTTGCGGAAGTAAGAAGGGAAGGATTGTGATGGCGGCTGCGACACAAGCTGAGACGGTGGGTTCTATGAGTCCTACCCAGGGGTTTCTGTGCGAGAGGAATGCAGGAAGAGGCAGGGGCGAAGAGTCAGGGGTGGAGGGCTAGGGCGCGGCCTGTCTCAACCCGCCGGAAATCGGCTTGGGCCGCACTGGAATTAGCTGAGGCGGCCCCACTGAATGAAGCCTGTCCTTCTCGCCGCAGGTGCCAGTGGACCGCGCGGAGGAGGACTTGCCCCTCACGGCTGCCGAGGAGCTGGCCGCCCAGAAGCGCGAACAAAGATTGCGCAAATTCCGAGAGCTTCACCTGAAGCGGGTGAGTAGTATGGAAGGCCAGCTCAGACTTGTCATCTGGCCAGGGCGGTGCGCGTTTGTAAAGGAACTCATTTGTGATGGGAAGTCTCATCAGCGCTTCTTACAGACTCGGAGAATTGGCTCATCCTCCCTTCTCCCCCCAGTCCGATTTATTGGTTAGTTCCGGAGTCTTTATTATTATTATTTAGTATCTTATCATTGATAGTATACACATTATAGGATGCCACCGGCTACCACTTGGCAGCCACTCGGACAGGGATCAAAATAGGAGATCCTGGATAGAATGGGAGAAAAATGTGGAACAAAACTCAATATCATAAAAAAGACCAGGCTTATGGGTCTGATAGAGACTGATGAAAACCCCAAGACAGCGGCCCCTAGTCGGCCTTTGGTCCCGGAATTGAATTTATTCCTGTGGCTTCCAGCCAAACAATAGACAGGCATATAAAGTGAATATTTACACCAGGTAGATATACTCCTTAGAACAATCAACCATGAGAGAACAGAAGGGCTGCATTTGCACAGGGAGATAGCTCAGAGGGCAGGAATGCATAGGAAAGACCTCAGGGTAAAGGTAACATGGGGAGGCAGTGTTACATTACTGTGATTGCAGTCAATGTCATGAAACAAAATGTGTATGAAGTGTTGAATGAAAGATGAATTTGCTCTGTCAACTTTCACCCAAAGCACAATTAAAAAATAAAATAAAAATACACTCTCAATAATGAACAAAACTTTAAGGGAAAAAAGTCAAGATCATGAAAGAGAAGCAGCAAGAAGAACTCAGAATTCAGCAAAAATACACTTTTGGCTTTGGCTTTGTCCTAAGACTTTGTAAAGTGGAAGAGCCAAATGCCTACTTTACTATTGTTTCTGGCACCCTATAATTTTTTTTAAATTGTGATTTTATACACGTTTTGCTTTGTGACATTAATTGCAGACCCCTCACTGGGGGTCTCTATTACTAACAGCTTTCTTGCTCTATGATTTTAACAAGCCCTTCATTTTTCCTAGGAAAATGACTAGCACTAGAGGCTAGAAGAGACCTGACCAGCACCTCTTAGAGGTGATTGCCTCCTCATTCAAACACATTCAGCTGACCTGTAGAAGTCTACAGTGTATGGCTTGGCCAGTTGATGGGGATCCAGATGATTAAGTTAAAGCCTCTGTTTTTAAGTTAGAGAAGACAGCTTTATAAACAGAAATTGTACTGTGGTAAAAGTCATGGTAGAGGTAGGAGCAGCGTGCCCTGGTAGTGCAGAGAAGGAGGAATTAATGGAGTGTTGAGGGTGAGGGGAGGCTGCAGGGAGTACCTCATGTAAGAAGTGATACCTGAACTCCTGTGTGAAAGTGGGATATTATCACACAAATGAAGGAATTGGGGGAAGAGGTGTCCAAGTAAAGGAAGGGTCCTCATTAGGGATGAGAATCCAGCAGACAGCTGGATGCAGTGGAGTTGAGAAAGAAAAAAGCAGCCCCTGATCATTGGCATCTCAGAGCTGGTGTGAGGATCTGCTAGGCCATGGTTTCACAAAACTCCAGCACAACTCTGTGATTATTTGTGTGAGATAAAGATAAGAACACCATTCGTACCAAAGGAATGACCACCTGTCCCCCTCTTGAGGCTAATAGGAGTGACTGTTATTACAAACAGTATTAGTCTCCATCAGTTCCACCTTCTTGGATGTCAGTCAGAGGATGGCTCTCCCTTTCTGACAGTGCCTAATCCCCAAACCCAAATTTCTTGACTTTTTCCCCAAATTACCTGACACAAACTCAAGTCCTGTAACCAGCTCCTTCTAACACCCCCTCTCTGAAATGCCTATGGTTCCGCATGGTGTACTTTCTCCTTCAGTGCAATAAACCCCACATTGTTACACTACATGTGTGTGCTTGGTGTTGGACTGGAGGGCATGGCCAGAGCCAGGGTAGATAAGGATGGCTGAGAGGAGTGTCTCTCTTTGCCTGGAAAAAGTCAGGCTGATAAACAGTTAAACACATTTAAATACATATTTGGAAGGACTCTGTAAAGGACATGTGGCTGGAGATTAGGAGACATGGCTTTTTGGACTAACTCAGCTACCAGTTTGTGTCCTAAAAACATCAAACTTAAATTTTTCTTATGATAGTTGTTAAAGCCCTCCAGGCCCAACCTGACCCTTTTCTCTTGAATTAATCAAGATTAAAAGAGAATTGAAGGTAGAATATCTTTCACATCTTGTGATTTAACATTATTTAATGCCATTTAACATCTGGGAACTCTGGTGGCATAGTGCCTAAGGCATTTGACTGCTAACCAGGAGGCTGGGTTCAAACCCATCAGCCACTCCTCAGAAGGAAGGTTGGGCAATCTACTTCCATAGTGATACTGCCTCAGAAACCCAAGGAGGAGTTGCTATGAGTCGGATCCAATTCAACGTCAGTGTGTTGGTTTGTTTTTGTTTTATTGAACATCTACTCAAGTGTCATTCTGGTAATGGCTCCCTAACCGTGTGAAACCTTGTCTCAATCCAACTTTTAAGGAACCTACTCAAAGGGACCACATAGCTAAATACAGACAAAACTGATGTTAACTCCCAGGCCTCTGGAAGTAGCAATCCAGTGAAATCCAACACATTTTTCTTGACTATATATAAATGCAAACCTACTTAGGCTGTTCCCTTGCTTAAAATCCTTTGATGCCTCTCTGTGACTTTAGGATAAAATGTTGCAGTGTTTTACTTCACCCCCCTCAAAGAAGGAAATGTCTTTTTGGATTTATTTTCTATGTTATGGTTTTAGAATGAAGCTCGCAAGTTAAATCACCAGGAAGTTGTAGAGGAAGATAAAAGGCTTAAGTTACCTGCGAATTGGGAAGCCAAAAAAGCTCGTTTGGAATGGGAATTGCAGGAAGAAGAAAAGAAAAAGGTTAAGAAGTACCCTGATATCTTCATAAGGCAATTAATATATTGTATTGAAACTGTATAATATGGCAATTGGGTACATTGACTCTGGAGCCAGGCTGCAAGGTTTCAATTTCTGGCTCTGCTCTTCACTATCTGTAACACTCTGGGCTAGTTATTTATTCTTTCTGTGTCTCTGTTCTCTCATCTGTTTTAAGTTAATTGTGAATTAAATGAGTTAATGCATGTAAAGCATCTATAGTGGTGTCTGACACCTGATACACGTAAAGATTATTTTTAAAATTGATGTGTTCATGTCTTACATACTATAGTGGATTCCCAAATTTCCTTTGAGTATTAATCACTATTTTTAAAATATTGCTTGATATTTTTATTGGATCTCTCTTGATTGAAAATAAGTCAGGTATTTGCTCGTGTCATAGTTACAGGCATCATAACTCTTTGCATTTCCTTTTTTCCTTTTTAGGAATGTGCAGCAAAAGGGGAAGACTATGAGAAAGTGAAATTACTGGAGATCAGTGCAGAAGATGCAGAAAGATGGGAGAGGAAGAAGAAGAGGAAAAACCCTGATCTGGGATTTTCAGGTAAAATTGCCTTTATTTTATTGGCTGGTCCTGGTAGATAAGCATTGCTTTCACTGTCTCTGGTTTCAAGGAAAGAGATGCCTCCTGTATTTCCTTAATGGAATAGTCTCTAAGAGACTTAAACCCAGGAAAATTGTAACTGTTTATCACGTGGCAGAAGTAAAATACAGGATTCTCTTTTTCTTTGTGGTAAAATTCATCAAAGCTGATATTGTCAGTATCTTCAGGATAGGAGCTATGCTTAAATTAGTTTCTTTTCCATCTGTTATTTAATAGTTTTGATTTTTCTCTGGCTAGTAATGCCCAAACAAAGAAATACATAATTTCTGATGTTAATTATTTTTCATCTTCATTTTATTTTTAGATTATGCTGCTGCCCAGTTACGTCAGTATCATCGGTTGACCAAGCAGATCAAACCTGACATGGAAACATATGAGAGAATGAGAGAAAAGCAGTAAGTAGACAGGACTAATCCCAGGCCCTCTTTCATCCAGAGATGGTATATGTGTATCTGTGTATGTGTGTATGTATAACACATGTGCACACATTAATACAAACATATTTCAGTGCTAAGGAGTGGGTATCACCAGCTGTCTAAGAATGGTCTCTGGTCTTGCCAACACCATTTATTACTCATCCTCTCAGCAGTTAAGCCAGCTAAGGCGCTGTCTTTCTTGGGGAGCATTCTAAGATTAAGTGTTGAATGGGAAATGCCCAGATTATCATAGTTCCTTAGGTGTTAATTTTGGAAACAGACTGCTTTAGTGAAGAGTAGGTGAACTGGTGAAGGGCTAGATAGGAAATAATGTAGGCTTTGTGGGCTGTAAGGTCTCTGTCACACCTAGTCACCTTTGCTGCTGTGGTGTAAAAGCTTCCTTAGAGGCTATAGAAGGAATAGGTGTGGCTGTGTTCCAGTAAAACTATTTACAAAAACAAGTGGCAGGCTGTGGTTAGTTGATCCTGCTTTAGTGGAGAGAGAAACAGCCAGAGGCTAGAAGTTCTAATCCCAGTTTTGTGGTATTTGCTAAATTCTTTAACTCAGGCTCTGAGCTCTTTTGTCTGTAGAGTGAAGGTGTTGGATTAGATGATTTCTTAGGTCCCTTCGTAGTGCCTAAGGCACTTAACTGCTAACCAGAAGGCTGGTGGTTCAAACCCACCAGCTGCTTCTCAAAAGGAAGATTGGGCAGTGTACTTCCATAGTGATACCACCTCGGAGACCCAAGGAGGGGTTGCTATGAGTTGGATCTGACTCGATGGCAGTGAGTTCGCTTTTTTCTTCCCAATTCTATGCTTTTTTTTTTTTTTTTTTTAAATTAAGGAAAGACTTCACAGTAAGTACATGTATATATTTTATCTCTCATTGTGAGTGCTATTTTAGTTGGAAATTTGACATCGTGGAGCATCTGTAATGTTGCTCTAAGTCCATTTTGCTGTCTTTTCAGTGGAGAAGAGTTTTTCCCAACATCCAACAGTCTCATTCATGGAACCCATGTGCCTTCCACAGAGGAGATCGATAGGATGGTCATAGATCTGGAAAAACAGTGAGTACTCAAGAGCGTTGTCTGCAAGAGGACACGTGGACATCCTTGGTATATTTACCAAGGATGAATTGAACAGATAGAAACTATACTCTCTCATTTCAGAATGTTATTTCTAAAAGATAAAAACTTAAACAAATCACAATGCTATTATCACAGCAGTAGTTTCATTTTAATAAGAAGTCCAGAGAGACATTTTTTCTGTGTGCTGATTAAGATGCTAAATACCTAAGTAGGATGTTCTAAGATAAGAAAAATCTGAAATTCAGGTATGGATTGAGTTCATAAGATTTGGAACAAAGATGCAAAATGTTGATGGAATTGTTTAATCAAAGGGAAAGTTCTAAAGAAAATTGTATTCTTTTTTAAAGGTTTTACTTTAGCAACTACCCCACTATTTGATTCGAAGAGGCAAGAATGTGCTAGTAATGGACCTTAGTTACAGATACATACATTTTTTTTTATGGTGGTTCTATAACATTGTACTGGATGAATGTGCTTTTGTGTCACAAATGAAGAGACTATTTTCCTTACCAATATTTAACAGGAGGGGAAAACATGCTTTAACCAAACGTGTTTGCTTAGATAACATGACTGATCATCAACAAAACCCTGCCATCCCCTAGTTTCTTCCTAGGTAGATGAAACAACTAAGTTGGTGCTTTCTGTTCCTAATGGCCTCAATTACCAAGCTGTATGATGACTACACAGAATTCAGATAAAACACATTTTGGGAGTGTGGAGTCTTCTGTCACATGAGACTTCTGAATAAGCCAACATTGGTTTGGGGAAACGAAAATAGCCACATGGAGCATTGTACTTAGGTTAGACAGAGAGATGGAGAAACAAGCTAGGGCAGTTTCAGATGACTGAGCCTGTGAACATGATCTCAGCACTGTTGCTGGTGGCCAGGAAATAATTCCAGAGGGTGACTTAAAGTCATTTTCGGCAAAGACATAAGAAGAGGGCTGCCCAGTATAAGATTTTTAAGTTATGGTCACGTTATTTATTTAGAAGTTCCCTACTAATACCAGTAATAAAGAGAATAGATCAAGTACGGGATTGAAGGATACTTCCTCTCCCTCTGTCTTACTCTTTCCCTCTGTATACTTAATCCTGTTACTGCAGTGAGATGGCAGAGCTGTGGAGGGAAAGGCCAGCATTTACTGAGCACCCACTTGTGGTGGTGGTGGTGGTGGTGAGTAGGCTTCGACACACAGAGACCTTAAGTGAACAGAATGAAATATTGCCTGGTCCTATGCCATTGTCATGATCATTGGCCACTGTGACAGTCTGTCTCACCAGTGGCCTCCCTCACCTTCACTGACCATCCACTTCATCAACCATGATGTCCTTTTCTAGCAGTTGGTCTTTCCTGGTGATGTGTCCAGAGTAACTGAGCTGAATGAAGCCTCTCAATCCTCGCTTCTAAGGAACATTCTGCTTGTATTTCTTGTAACACAAGATCATAATGATGATGGCTAGCAATTATTGAATGCTTACTATGTTCGGGCACTCTTCTTATTTAATTTTGTCCTTCACTCTGTACTAGGCATTATGCATTCCATATATTTCACGTTCTCTTCCTTCCTTCCCAATGAAATAGGTTGTCTTATCCTATTGTAAAGATTAGGACAGTTCCCAAAGTCACATGACAGACCGTTGGTTGTGCTCGGATTTGAACCAAGCATGTTTATCTTGGAAGTCCTTGTTCTTTTTCACTTACAGTGCTTGTCATTGCAAAACCCATCAATACTGTATACATTATTGTTGTTGTTTGTGCCGTTGTTCTGATTACCTAGTGCCGCTCTGACAAGAATATACCACAAATGGGATGGCCTTAACAAACAGGAGTTTATTCATACAATTTGGAGGCTTTAAGTCCAAGTTCACAGTGCCGGGCTCCAGGGGCTGGGTGAAAGCCCCTCAACCTTGGGTTGCAGCTCTGCCTCTTGCTCCCGGCCCACTGGAGCTAGAGGCATTTCTTTACTCAGACAGCTGCTGGCTGCTGAGGCTGAGAAGCCCCAAGGTTGACATGTAAAAAGGCACAGTCCCGATGTTACCAAACCACATGGCAGGCCATTAACTTAAGTCCATTGTAAGTCCCAAGGTCGGCAGAGCATAGCAGGCTGCTGAGCAACGACACGGCTACATGTAAGGTCCAAGCGTGCCGTAGGCTAGAGACCATTTTCAAAGCTTCTCCTTATATACAGGAAGCAGACCACATACCCAAAGGCAGCTACCCAGCTGCTTGTGGTAGATCCTACCACGGAGTTGATTGCCAATCTCCTCATGGGGATTAACTACCACCAGCTGCCCAGCCACTCAACCAGGCCCAGCCAAGTTGACACAAAAACATAAACACCACAGCCGTCGATATTAGCAAAAAGAAATACTACAAATGTAACTAAGATTTTCTTTTGTGATGAAAGTCCCATAAGGTGAGGGTCTTGGCTTGATTTTACTTCTAACTTGGTATGTGACCTTAAATAAGTTATCTGATTTCTCTGTGATTCAGTTTTTTTTTAAACAGAGGAAATTGGTTTTCCATTCAACAATCCACACATAGTTTGTTTTGAGACATTCACTGCACTTCCCACAATGCAACAGCACTCTTCCCACTTCCTCCCACGCCCATGACTTCATTTTTATATCTGTGTTTCTTAATACTGATAGAGGTAAATATTAGGCAGAAGAGAATGAATTTATATTTTAGGAGTTAATACAAGCACATGTAAAGTGTTAAGAATAATGTTTAGCATATACTAAACCCTAAGTTTATATTTGCTGTGGGTATTGTTATTAACATAATAATAGTTCTTTTAATAATGGAGTTTCTGGGTGGTGCAGATGGTTAAGGTGTTTGTCTGCTAACCTAAAGGCTGGGGGGTTGAGACCACCAAAGGTGCCTCGAAAGGAAGGCCTGGTAATCTCCTTCCAAAAAATCAGCTGTTGAAAGCTGTACGGAGCACAGTTCTACTCTGACACATGGGGTTGCAGCAAGTCAGAGTAGACTGGAGGATAATTGGCAACTGGTTATTGGAATAATCATCTTCTTTTAAGTAATACTTCCTGTATACAGTTCCTAGCGATGTATCATTGCTCAGTTAGAAACACTTGGAAGATGAGTTTATGTTTACTGGATTCATACCCAGGGTTGTGCCTTTTATTAAGCGGTTTCAACTTGATGAAGACTAGTCTTTTTTTTTTTCTTTCAAAGTATGGTACTCCAAGAGTACGGATTCTATTCTAGCTGTTTGGCCATGTTTTATTAAGATCAAAATAAAGACAATTTTCAATTTTGTAAATTATTTTCTTCCTTCCCCAGAATTGAAAAACGAGACAAATATAGCCGGAGACGCCCTTATAATGATGACGCAGATATCGACTACATTAATGAAAGGAATGCCAAGTTCAACAAGAAGGCAGAAAGATTCTATGGCAAATACACAGCTGAAATTAAACAAAACTTGGAGAGAGGAACAGCTGTCTAATTTCCTCCAGGAGCTGTTTTTAGATGCTTGGGATACAGTGGAACTGTCTGCTAACAAATTGAAGTGTTCTTCAAAATAGTCCCAGTAAACCAGGACTCAATCTATACCTTCTCACTCAGCATTTAGAAATAAAAGTTTTATCTTAAACATATGCTTCCATGTATATTTCCACATTTTTGTGCTTGGATATAAAATGTATTTCTTGTAGTGTACTTGTTTTGTAAAAATCTACTTTGTATAAATTTTAATTACATTATTTTTCTATGTATTTTAAATGTGTATGACTTTAATCTTTGAAGCATATGGGTTTAAGATTCCTCGCAGTATACATAAATGTAGTCATTGTTTCCTTGACAACATCAAGGAACCACTTGAAGTTGTAGACTCCCACGCTGTGGACAGTGATGAGAAAGGTGGCAGTGGCTGCTGGGGGTTGGTACTGTCTCCACCTGTGGCTGCTTGTCACGAAGTTTAGGGGGTAGCAGAACTGTCCTCCCATGGTGTTCTAGGTACCTAGTGCTGCTCTGAATATACCGCTAATGGGGTGGCCTTAACAAGCAGGAGTTTATTCTTACAATTTGGAGGCTTTAAGTCCAAGTTCAAAGTGCCGGGCTCCAGGGGCTGGGTGAAAGCCCCTCAACCTTGGGGTCCAGCTCTGCCTCCTGCTCCTGGCCCACTGGAGCTAGATGCATTTCTTCACTCAGACAGCTGCTGGCTGCTGAGGCTGGAAGCCCCAAGGTTGACAAGTAAAAAGGCACAGTCCTGATGTTACCAAACCACACGGCGGGTCATTAGCTTAAGTCCATTGTAAGTCCCAAGGTTGGCAGAGCATGGCAGGCTGCTGAGCAATGACATGGCTACATGCAGGGTCCAAGCGTGCCATAGGCTAGAGACATTCCCAAGGCTTCTGCATAAATACAGGAAGCAAACCACATTCCCTAAGGCATCTACTCAGCTGCTCCCTCCCAGTAGATTCCACCATGGAGTTGATTACCAACCTTATGGGGAATACTACATCCAGCTGCTCAGCCACTCAACCAGGCCCAGCCAAGTTGACACAAAAACATAACCACCACACATGGCTATGGCCCATGTACAGTTCTTTTTTAAAAAGTCAAATATTCTTTGCATTGGAATCTCTGCTAAACACTTACCATTTAAAACAGTTCTATGTGCATTTGCACATATGCACAAAGGTTGAAAAAAAAATGATAGTTTTAGTAAAAAGTCCAGAGACATTTTTCCTACATGCTGATAAAAATGCTAAGTTTTTATTCCACAAATAGGTTTATTATGAAAAATTTCAGATATATTCAAAAGACAATAAGCCCTATATAAAATACACCCAACACCTATATTCATCAATGATCAACTCCTGGCCAATGTTTCATCTTTACTCCTGCCCACTTGTCCCACCAGTACTTCATGTTATTTTGAAGCAAATACTTAGATGTGTAATTTTATCTATAAATATTTCCATATGTATCTAAAAAAGATAAGAAATGACCACAATACTATTATCACAGTAATAGTTTTAATAGTCCAAAGAGTAAGAGACTCTTAAAATTTTTTCTACGTGCTGATTAAAATGCTAAATAGGATGTTCTAGTTATGAGATGTTTGAAACTCAGAAAATTTCACAAATACTTCACCTTTTCATAATACTGTTGGTAATTTTATTAAAATGTATGTGGCACTTTGTTTTAATTTCTGCTCTCATTTTCTTTCCATTTCCATTGTTTCTGTGTGTAGTTAATCATAGGTCTGGTCAAAAATTCTTAAGAATTTATTGAAAAGGTTATTGAAAAGTTTGTTCTTTCTATTCCTATTTCCACTACCTCACTTTTTGACCCAGAAAATGCCAATAGCCTTAAATAAAAACAAAATACAAGATAGTATCAAATAGAACTTGACAATGAATTTAAAAGAATAATTCACTAGGACTCAGCAAGGTTTATTCTAGGAATTCAAGCATAGCTTGTTGTAGGCCCTGTTAGTTGCCTAACCATATCATTATTTCTTTATTAGCAACAGTTGTTATGTGCTGTCGAATTGGACCTGACTCATAGCGACCCTTCCTTGGGTTTCTGAGGCAGTATCACTACCTAAGTAGATTGCCCCATCTTCCTTCTGAGGAGTGGCTGGTGGATTTGAACCGCCAGCCTTCTGGTTAGCAGTCAAGTGCCTTAGGCACTACGCTACCAGGGCTCCCTATTAGCAACTAGAACTCTGATTTTTTTTTTTTTTTTGGTGAGTTTGTGGTAATATTTCCAGCTCAACACATGACTGACATGCTGTTACCAAATGTCATGATTTTGGCTAATAAGACACAAGCTGAATTTATTTTGAGAAATCTTTTGCTTTTCTGATACAGGAGTTGTCTCTCCCTGTTTCCCTGTTCCTTCTTGTATGGATCACATACATGAGGCCTAGGGCTGCAGCCGCCATTTTGTGCCATGAAGTAACAAGTGTGAGAATGAGCTGGGGTGGGTGGAGCAGAGCTTGGGTCCTTGTTGGCATTGCTGAACACCTTCTGTTACTTGCTGGGTAAATTTAGGACTGAATTTCAGGAACACCTCTCAACAAATAGCTATACAAAAAGCAATAATTCTTCTTACTCTACAAATGTTAATGGCTGCAAGTTGGCTTCTGTCTCGTGACCCCACACACAACGGAATGAAATGCTGCCTGGTCTTGTGCCATCCCCATGATTAGTTGTGGATTGGACCATTGTAATCTGTAGGGTTTTCATTGGTTGATTTTTAGAAACAGATGACCAGGCCTTTCTTCTTAGTCTCTTAGCCTGGAAGCTCATCAGAAACCTGTTCAAGATCATTTTGTTGGTGCCATTGAGTCAATTCCGACTGATAGTGACTCCATGTGACAAAGTAGAACTGCCTCATGGAGTTTACTAGGCTGTAATCTTCATGGAAGCAGGTCACCAGGTCTTTCTCCCACAGAGCCACTGGTGGGCTCAAACTTTGAGTGAGCAGCTGAGCTCTTAACCATTGAACCAACAGGGCTCCTGACCAAGTTCAGCGTCTTAACAGCACCCAAGCCCGTACACTGACAGGCAGGCAGTGGTTGAGCATGAGGTTCATTGGCTATGAACTGAACTGGAGTCTTCTGCAGGGAAGGTAAGAATTCTAGCACTGAGCTACCACTGCCCCACTCTAGAAATAAGCACCTGGAAGTGGAGATGGGAGGAAATTGTCCAGTTACAATAGTAATGAAAATGATAAATTTTTATAATTTAGTGAGAAGGTATAAGATTTATGTGAAGAAAATGATAAAATCCAATCGAAAGTGTGAACATGGGGCTTCTGCTTCCAATGAGGTGGAGTGAGAGGAAACAGATTTACTGTCCTTCCCAAAATAACAACAAAAGGATAACACACTTGACAAAACGTTTTCACGATATTGGACAGTAGGCAAAGAGGAACAGTGATCCCTGAGAGACGGGAAAAGAACAAGGTGAACCTTGTGATGTGGGCTTTTTACTGTCTTGGGAGTCTCCAGGCTGTCACATGGGGAGAGAAGTCAGGTGGAGCCTGGCAAACTCCCTTAGTTGAGGAGATGGAGATGAAGGTCTTTGCAGTGGGAGTTCATGGTACAGAGCACAGGAGAAGACAAAGCTGCAGAGAGAGTGCTGGAAATCTGCAGAGGGTCCCCTCAAATTTTAGGCAGAGTGCTGATCAGCACATGTGTGGGGATACTATGCAGGGCTAGGGACAGACCACCTTAAAGGATTAGAGAGAATAGTACCTGGCACTGGCACATGGCCAGGAATAGTGTTTTACCCACCAGCCAGAATGGAAAACTTAATTTGTCGTGGCGCACTGGGCAGAATCCTGAGGAAGTTCTTGCCTCAGTAATGGGAAATAACTAGCCCCAGACGAAACACTGCTTGGGGCCTGCCTAACAAATCTTCAAAGTAAGACCTGGAAGGATCAAACTGTTTCCAAGGAACGTAATTGCATCCCAGAACAAAGATGAAGAATAATTATAAAACCACAGAAACATCCGGTACCTAACAATGTCAGATTCATAATGTTCAGCATTTAACCAATGAAGCTGGAAAACAGAACCTATAATTGGGAAGAAAAATCAGTCAATCTAAAGTAATGAAGAACTGACAGGTTAGAAATAAAATGGAAAGAAATTAATAGGGCTGGAAATTAAAACAGCTATTATAACTTTATCACACAGGATCAAAAAGTTAAGAAGACATATGAGGATACAAAAAAAGACCTGCATTGAACTTCTAGGTATGAAAACTACAGTGTCTAAAATGAAAAATACACTGGGTGGGATTAATTGCTAATAAAACCTTACAGAAGAGATTAAAAACAAACAAACAAACTCAGTGCCATTGAGTCAATTCAGACTCATAGCGATTTCTGTTGGGTTTCCAAGGCTGTAAATCTTTGCAGAAGCAGACTGGTCTATCTTTCTCCTGTGGAGTGATTGGTGGGTTCAAACCACTGACCTTTTGGTTAGCAGCCAAATGCCTTAACCACCAGAGCTTCTCACAGAAGGGAGTAGTGGATTTGAAGTCATAGCATTAGAAATCATCCAAAATAAAAAGAGAGTAACAAGAGTAAAGAAAAAATATGAATAGGGCACCAGTTTATTGTGGGACATTGTTGGTGTGATTTAGAGTCTCCGAAAGTGGGGGGACTGCCTCCCATGGAAGACTCTGGATCTGAAGTCTGATCTCACTTTGTCAAATCTGAGCAAATATGAGAGGTGCTATTAAATGTGTGTTAGCACCACATGGAAGCTTTCTCCTTGACACAGTGAGCAAGATTGGGAAAGAGCTGGCAAAAGCCTGCCTCATGCTGGGCTGGTTTATGAGCCCTGGTGGCACAGTGGTTAAGTGCTTGGCTGCTAACCAAAATATCAGCGGTTTGAACCCACCAGCCGCTCTGCGGGAGAAAGATGTGGTAATCTGCTTATGTAAAATTAACCAAAAAACCCCAAATCTGTTGCTGTTGAGT